ATTCTGCCTAAAATGCTAGTAGGGCGCTGTATAGTGGGGAAATGGCGAAAGAACGGAGTGAAACGGTCAAAATCCTGCGAAGAAAAAGCCTCCGTTCTCAGTGACTTGTAAATCGATTTCGGACGAGTTTCCCGTAGGCATCTTACCAATCACCGCTACCGAAGATACGGCTGCATATGTGTACCCATATATGCATGCAGCATCAGGCCGCTTCATACCAATCCCTTCGCTTCATAATTTGCTTAGCAAATGAATGAATACGAGCGTCAGGAACGGTCGTCCATTTGTGGGCGGTGGGCGTGGCGGGCGTTTGGGACGTAAAGTTGTGGCTTGATAGGGCCCTTATAAGGGCACCTTCCTTGGAAAAGGCATTATGCAGCGCCTGCTCAGGGTCGCGGAATTCCGTCCTGCCAGGCGTATTAATCCTGCTCGTCTTGGAGATTTATCGTGCCAACTGCCTTTCGAGGACTATGAGAATACAGAACTGAAGTAGCGGAGTTTGATAACAAAAGCTCTTAAAGTTGGTTTCGGAAAAGTTGCGGTGAGTGCTCATACTTTGTGGCAGCGTCCACCAGCGACCATTTGCGCTCGAGCGCCCCGCATCGTCAGCGACCAGGAAAGTATAGATGACGATCCAGCGTCTACCAGCGTCCACCAGCGTTCACCAGCGACCGGGAGGGTATGGGGAAAGTAGGATGGTAGCAAACAGTTGAATTAGGCGCTGTGAAATTGCGGTGTCTGCAGTCGCACCGCACAACTGCGAAGGCACAGAATATGCAGTTCAAAGTACGGTGTAGTGTATTGAACGGTGAGGTTGCACACACCGCACTTTCACGACGCCTAATCCAGTTGTTTGCAATCCTCCTACTTCCCCATAATCTCTACTCCCGGTAGCTGGCGTGAACGCTGGTGGATACGGAGGACGCTGGTAGACGCTGGCAGGCGCTAGATCGATACTACACCTCCTTTCCCCTCGAGTACTTCCAAGCCGTGACATCGCGAGCAATAGCCAAAGCTTTTCCTAGCTAGTTGACTAGATGGGCACAAACTCAGGTCAGAGACAGGAAGGCGAAATACCAAGGTTTGGAATGTGTTGTTCCAAGCTGTCACCTTGCCTGGAAATTATAAAAGCAAAATTTGAAAAAGACAGCAACCATTAATTTCCTCAATTTAATGTGTTCACGGCTGATGCTTATGAACTGCTGTTTATTGTGTAATTCTTAGAATCGCTTCATTTCAAAATCAGTCTAGAATAATCGCAGATTCGCTGGCTAATTTTTTCCAGGTTGGTAGCATTTCGTGGTTTGCGTAGCATTGGCTCAGGAGACGTTCTTTTGCTATCGGAGGCTCGTATTATACCTCCATATCGTGAGTCGCCCTATTTCTCCCTTTGAACCACCCAATGGATTTGTATGTTTCTCTCCCCGGAAATGCATCGTTTGGAGTTGGTCTGGCTCTACATCCCTGAAAAAAATATTTTTACAGCAATGACATGGAAAAACTTCAACAGTAAAACATGGAAATTGCATAAGAAAACGGTCCGGCTTTCGTACGCTCGCATGATGATTGCTGGCTCGTTCTTCAGTGGAGCACTTGACTACGACTCACAAGAAGTTCAAAATATTCTCATTATCGGCCTAGGTGGAGGCATCATCAATAATTTTTATAGTACAATTCAGGATTTAAATGTGAGTACCGCTTCCTTTTCACTCCACTGTTATTGATATAATAGAGGCTATTTAATCTTCACTGCCCACTGCTCAAATTCAAGCCAGCTTTGAATGCAACAAAATGTTCCTTCTGGTGAAGGTAAAGACAAAAGAAACAGCAGCCATATTTGCGGCACTGCGCATAGAGCACGTCTATTTTCGCGAAGAGCGGATTGGATATTCGTAGACAAAGCGTCAGACTCCCTAAGACAACTATGCAGTAGGTATTGCTACCTGAGGTGAAGTAACACCGCCGCTGGAAATCTGGAGCCATCAGGATGTACAGTCCTCATCATTACGGACTGTCGGGGCGGCACAGCCGCGCTGCACTGTGACGCGACAGCGGCTGCGGCTCGGTGACGGTGAATCAGCTGATTTCGATGGAATTCGGCTGCAAATTCCTACTTTTTCAGCTCTTCAAGCTTCTAAAGTGGAAGGTGAGTTATTCTGAACAATTTTGAATTGTACTGGCTCTGATTTCCTTTATTTTTATGTCGATTATATGCTCTTTTCCTTGTATTTTGCCTTATTTCAGGCATTTATTCAAATGGCTTGCATTCTTTCAGATTCATTCAGAGTCAGTACAATTTAAAATTGCTCAAAATAACTCATCTTCCACTTTCGAAGCTCGAAGAGTTGAAAAAGTGGGAATTCGCAGCCGAATTCCATGGAAATCAGCTGATTCGCCGTCACCGAGCCGCAGCCGCTGTCGCGTCACATTGCAGCGCGGCTGTGCCGCCCCGACAGTCCGTAATGATGAGGACTGCATAGGTTTTTTCAGGAGGTAAACCACCCCCAGTTTCCGAGAAATTCTCTTTCAATGAAAAATTTTTATTAATCTGACCACACTTTTAAAAAATGGGAGGTTAAGGGGAAAAGAGGAGGAGGAGGTGGAGGTGGAGGTGGAGGTGGAGGTGGAGGTGGAGGTGGAGGTGGAGGTGGAGGTGGA